TTCAACTCACTCTCAGTAAAAGCCAGCTCAACCCAATGCCCACATGGCCCAACAAACCTTGTCCCCATCGCCTCTCTGTCCTCTCCTTTCTTCACTCCACACTAGCCACAGTGCCCTTTTTGTTGGTCCCTAAACCTACCAGATTGGAGAAGGCAATGGCACCCCACTCCAGTACTCTTGCCTGGAAAATCCCATGGACGGAGGAGCCTGATAGGCTGCAGTCCATGGAGTCGCTAAGAGTCAGACACGACTGAGTGACTTCACTTTCATGCATTGGAGAAGGAAATAGCAACCCACTCCAGTATTCTTGCCTGGAGAATCCCAGGGACGGGGGAGCCTGGTGGGCTGCCGTCGATGTGGTCGCACAGAGTTGGACACGACTGAAGTGACTTAGCAAACCTACCAGATAATCACAATGGTGTGATCACTCACCTAGAGCCAGATATCCTAGAATACAAAGTCAAGTGGGCCTGACGAAGCATCACTACGAACAAAACTAGTGGAGGTGATGGAATTGCAGTTGAGCTCTTTCAAATCCTGAAAGATGATGCTGTGAAAGTGCTGCACTCAAGATGCCAGCAAATTTGGAAAACTCAGCAGTGGCCACAAGACTGGAAAATGTCAGTCTTCATTCCAGTCCCTAAGAAAGGCAATGCCAAAGACTGCTCAAACTACTGCACAATTGCACTCATCTCACACACTAGTAAAGTAATGCTTAAAATTCTCCAAGCCAGGCTTCAGCAATACATGAACCATGAGCTTCCAGCTATTCAAGATGGTTTTAGAAAAGGCAGAGGAACCAGAAATCAAATTGCCAACATCCGCTGGATCATCAAAAAAGCAAGAGAGTTCCAGAAAAACATCTATTTCTGCTTTATTGACTATGCCAAAGCCTTTGACTGTGTGGATCACAATAAACTGTGGAGAATCCTAAAAGAGATGGGAATACCAGACCACCTGATCTTCCTCTTGAGAAACCTGTATGCAGGTCAGGAAGCAACAGTTAGAACTGGACATGGAACAACAGACTGGTTCCAAATAGGAAAAGGAGTACATCAAGGCTGTATATTGTCACCCTGCTTATTTAACTTCTATGCAGAGTATATCATGAGAAATTCTGGGCTGGAGGAAGCACAAGCTGGAATCAAGATTGCTGGAAGAAATATTAATAACACTCAGATATGCAGATGACACCACCCTTATAGCAGAAAATGAAGAACTAAAGAGCCTCTTGATGAAAATGAAAGAGGAGAGTGAAAAAATTGGCTTAAAGCTCAACATTCAGAAAACTAAGATCATAGCATCTGGTTCCATCACTTCATGGCAAATAAATTAGGAAACAGTGGAAACAGTAGCTGACTTTATTTTTCTGGGCTCCAAAATCACTGCAGATGGTGATTGTAGCCATGAAATTAAAAGACGCTTACTCTTTGGAAGGAAAGTTATGACCAACCTAGACAGGAACTAGAATGTGACCAACCTAGACAGCATATTAAAAAGCAGAGACATTACTTTGTCAACAAAGGTCCGTCTAGTCAAGGCTATGGTTTTTCCAGTGGTCATGTACGGATGTGAGAGTTGAACTATAAAGAAAGCTGAGTGCCAAAGAATTGATGCTTTTGAACTGTGGTGTTGGAGAAGACTCTTGAGAGTCCCTTGGACTGCAAGGAGATCCAACCGGTCCATCCTAAAGGAGATCAGTCCTGGGTGTTCATCGGAGGGAGTAATATTGAAGCTGAAACTCCAATACTTTGGCCACCTGATGTGATGAGCAGACTCATTTGAAAAGACCCTGATGCTGGGAAAGATTGACGGCAGGAGAAGGGGACGACAGAGGATGAGATGGTTGGATGGCATCACCAACTCGATGGACGTGGGTTTGGGTGGACTCCTGGAGTTGGTGATGGACAGGGAGGCCTGGCGTGCTGCAGTTCATGGGGTTGCAGAGTCGGACACAACTGAGTGACTGAAGTGAACTGAAACCTACCAGATACACTCCTGCCTCAGGGCATTTACAGTTGCCATTCCCTCTGCCTGGCACACTGTTCCCCTAAATATACCATAATTCACCATATTGTGAATTTTATTTATATATCTTGCCCATTACCTATCTCCATCAATTAGAATGTGAACTCCTTAAGAACAGAGCTATTTTTGGCTGTTTTATTCACTGATATATCCGCAGCATTTAAACCAGCATGCCACTTGGTAGGCATTCAATAAATGCTTGTTTTAAAAAAATGAATGAACAACAAGAGCTGGTCACTCAACCATTCACACAATGAGCAATGATCACCCCCACCCCGCCCCCACCTGCCTGACACCATGCTTTGAGCTAGGAGGGCTGAGAAAGATCAGAACCAACCTGGGCCCAGCTGGGAGGGGCGATCAGAGCATATGTAACCAGGGCATGAGGAAGACAGTGCTCAAGAGCGGAGCGGATGGAGAGAGAGGGCAGGACCTAGCAATGAGCGATGGCTCCAGGGAGAGACGGTACTCCAGCCAATCCGTGAGGGCCCAGAATGATTCAGGCACATGGAGAAGGGGAGGGAGGAGAGAGAGCAGATGGAGAGCCCAGATGTAGGGGGCAGGGGGCATGTCCTGGGAACCAGGCGGGGAACTGCATGGCAGGACCACGTAGGAATAAGACTACTAAGGATATCAGGGCCATCCAGGAGGGGCCTGGGATGCCAGGATGAGGAGTCAGACTTAGTTTTCCCGAGGAAAACCAAGGAGCCACACGAAGCTTTTGAGCAGGAAAGGTCCGTGGTGTCACTCTGGCAGCGCGAGAAGAACAGGTTGTGGTGAGCGAGCAGGAAGACAAGGAGACCAGGAAGCTGGCTGCTTGGGACAGTCCCAGAGAAAGACAGCAAGGTGTGAGCCAAGACGGGACGGAGTAGACCAAAGAACAGGGGCGGAGGCTGCCCTGGCGGCTCAGTGGTAAAGAATCCACCTGCCAGAGCAGGAGAGACACGGATTCAGTCCCTGATCCGGGAAGATTCCACATGCCACGGAGCAACTCAGGCCACAGGCCACGGGCCACAACTACTGAGCCCGCGCTCCACACCAAGAGGAGCCACCGTGATGAGCAGCCCGCACACCGCAACCAGAATAACCCCGGCTCACCACAACTACAGAAAAGCCCGCACATCAGCGAAGACCCAGCACAGTCACAGATAAACAAATAAATAGAAGTTATTTTTTTAAGTCCATTAAGGAGATAAATTTACAAAAAGAAAAAAGAAAAGAGGTGGTTTGGAGGTGTTAAGGGTTTATGACTGGTGTTAGTGGGCAGGGGTGGGGCATGGGGAGGTTGGGGGGAGCTGGAGCCTGAATCTCGGGACCTCAGGAGCACAGAGCCGTGGAAGTGGCGGGGGTTGTGGGGTGGGGTCTGGTCAGGGCGTCCAGAGGGAACCACACCACTTCTGGAAGGCTGGGGAGTTCTGGGGATCCCGTCCGGCCCCTGCAGGAGCCGCAGGGAGGAGCAGGTTCCCAGCACAGGAGGGTGGACACGTCCCAGACCCGCCCACCTTCCTGACCCTCAGCCCCTCACACCCCAGGGCAGGCCCAGAGAAGAGATTCTCCAGCTGGCTTTGTCAGCCAAGATGCAGTGTCATTTCTAGATGAGCCATCCAGCTCTGGAGATGCGCCAGGCTACGGAGGGGGGACAGCTGTGTCCCCGCAACACAGCCAAGGAGCCACTTCCCAGAGCCAAGCAAGACAGTGGCAGAAGCAGAGCTGGCAGGGGCTCCGCGGGCCCAGCCAATGCAGAGACAGGCCTTCAACAGGGCTTCCATCTGCCCGGGGCCGCCGCCTCCCTGCAAGGTCAGGCTCATTCAGTCCCCACCAGCTGGAGATGATGATCCCAGTCATGCTCTCGGCCAATAAGCACTAAGGCATTTATTAGGCTGGCCTGCTGTATGCCAGCCTCTGTTTCTCTCCCACGGGGGTGACAAGGGTCAATGCGGCATGAAGGACATAGACTTTGGAGCCTGCAGGGGCGGAATTAGAGGCTGATCTGTCTCATCCTTGGTGCTGCTCTCTCTGGGCCTCAGTTTTCCCATCTGTTGAGTGGGGATAAGAAAAACCCTTTCCAACAAGGGCATATGGTGGTGGTGGGTTAGTTGCTGAGTCATGTCTGATTCTTGCGACCCCATGGACTGTAGCCTGCCAGGCTCCTCTGTCCATGGGATTCTCCAGGCAAGAATACTGGAGTGGGTTGCCATTTCCTTCTCCAGGGACAAGGGCATGATAAGGACCAAATAAGAGCACGTACAGGAGGGAATGCTAACAGAACTTGTCTATTTCCCAGGGATTTCAGTGGAAACCCAACCAAGGCTGAGGATGCTGGTGAGAGACACTCATACCTTAAAGGAGATGCTACCCACCAAGGACAGTACAGGGCATTAGTTATATCTACCCACTTTGGTCTAGCTTATGACACTCCTCCAGGCAAATATTCTACGTTTAATTTTAAATAAAGAGGATAAAAGACTGAGACTTTCCCTGCATACTTTTAGACTAAAATAATACAGTAGAAGAATCACTTTTAGAAGAAATGAGGTCCCATTATCACCAAAGCATTAACCAGGAGGGACTTCCCTGGTGGTCCGATGGCTGAGATTCCATGCTCCCACTGCAGGGGACCGGGGTTCAGTCCTTGGTCAGGGAACTAGATCCTACATGTGAAAACTGAGATCCCACGTGCTGCAATGAAAACCCAGTGCAGTGAAAATTTTTTTTTTAAAGCATTAACCAACAGCTCAAAGGACACACTTTAGATTCAGAAAAGCTTAGGCCCAAATCCTAGTTCTACCCCTTCCTAGCTGAGGCTCTTGGTAAGCCTTAGTTTACTCAGTAAAATGGGAATATCAGAGCTTCACCTGGAAGGAGTGATAAATATAACATTTGGGAAGACCTGGCACAGTGTCACCCTATGTGAAACAGCAGTTCCCTACCCACTGCAGCCCACTCCCACCTCTGAAGGGGCCCTCACTTACATAGGAGGCCAGGAGGGTAGTCGGGGCCAGGATGAGAGCCAGGTAGAGGCAGGGGGCTGCAGCAAGCAAGCTGGCAGCACAGATGAGGGGCTCAGCCTGAGGGTTGACTTTCTTGTACCTCCTCGAAGTCTCTGCTCCCAGGATAACCCCAATAATGCCAGTGACAACAGTCAGTGCCCCGAAAATCAGGCTGATGGAAAAGAGCAGAGAGGGCTTGGTCAGCGGTGGGATCAGAATAGGGGTCCGGCCACCTGCCCTCCAGTGCATGACCTGGTATGTGTGTATGTGTGTGTGTGTTCAGTCGTGTCCGACTCTTTATGACCCCACGGACTGTAGCCTGCCAGGCTCCTCTGTCCATGGATTTCCCCAGACAAGAATACTAGAGTGGGTTGCCATGCCCTCCTCCAGAGGATCTTCCCAACCCAGGGACTGAACCCATGTTGCCCGTCTCCTGCATTGCAGGCAGATTCTTTACAGCTGAGCCACATGATCTGGTACCTGCAGGGCATGTGGATGTGGGCCTCTTCCCCTCCCTCCTAACCAATGCTCCTGGGTCCTTGGGACCCTGCTCAGGGGTCCATGTACTCCCCTACTCTTCCCATCCCCCTTTCTGCCTCATCCTTGGGACTCCACTGGCCGTGTGGGTTATCTTTCCAGCACCCCAGCTCCCAGCCTGTCTCATCACCAGCAACCTCCTGCACTGTCTCGCCACTGAAAACTGCCCCATTCAGAAATCTTAATTCTACAGTCCCACTCTAGCCCCAACCTTCTTGCCTTCCAACCCCAAATACTAATGGGATGTAAGTGAACATTTACTTATAGAGCTCCTATGATACACTGGCACTTACCTGGGAATTTTACACTTCCTTGAGTCCATCCTTCCCTCTCTATCTCTGAACATCCCTCAAGTAGTGCCTCCTAACTTCACTATCTTTCCCACCTACTCCTGGGCCCACTTCCACTCTACTTGGTCTCTCTTGCAGCTTCTTCCTGTAGAAACGTCATTCCAAGATAACCTCCATACAGCTCCCCAGAGAATGCTTTCTAGGACACCAATCTGACCATGTACCTGCCCAGCTCCTGCCTAAAATTCTCCACCAGCTCTTTTTTTTTTTTTTTTTTTGTAAATCATACATTTTATTTATTTTTTTTTCCACAACCACAGTGTATCTTTTTCATTTTTTTTTTTTTTTTTTACATGTATTCCCCATCCCGGTCCCCCCTCCCACCTCCCTCTCCACCCAATCCCTCTGGGTCTTCCCAGTGCACCAGGCCCGAGCACTTGTCTCATGCACCCAACCTGGGCTGGTGAACTGTTTTACCCCAGATAATATACGTGTTTCGATGCTGTTCTCTTGAAACATCCCACCCTCGCCTTCTCCCAGAGTCCACAAGTCTGTTCTATACATAGGAGTCTCTTTTTCTGTTTTGCACATAGGGTTATTGTTACCATCTTTCTAAATTCCATATATATGTGTTAGTATACTGTAATGGTCTTTATCTTTCTGGCTTACTTCGCTCTGTATAATGGGCTCCAGTTTCATCCATCTCATTAGAACTGATTCAAATGAATTCTTTTTAATGGCTGAGTAATATTCCATGGTGTATATGTACCACAGCTTCCTCATCCATTCGTCTGCTGATGGGCATCTAGGTTGCTTCCATGTCCTGGCTATTATAAACAGTGCTGCGATGAACATTGGGGTACACGTGTCTCTTTCAGATCTGGTTTCCTCGTCCACCAGCTCTTAAACACCCACCAGATTTGATTCCAGTTCATTGTGGTGTGATCTGACCTTCCTGATCTGATCCTTGGTGACCTCAACCCCAAACCCCAATTCCATCCTCCTCAACCCCTAGACTTGTTGCTGTCCCCACTTCATACCTTTATTCCTTCATCTAGAGCACCCTTCATTGATTTTTCTATTTACCAAATTCCTACACATCCTTCAAGACCCATCACAAATGTCTCCTCTTTGGGGATGCTTTGCCCTGTCCGTTTGCTGATTCATTCACCCTTTCAGTTACTATAGCACCTTCTGCATCTCTGTCATCAAGATCACTCACTAGACTGTGAATTCCTGGAGAACAGAACCAGGCTTGGTTTGCTTTCTTGACTCTGGGCTGGGAGCATAGAGTCTGGAACAAGCGATATATGTTAAGCAAATGGCTCACAGATCTCTCCCAGAATTCCCAAGTGAAAAGGGGAGGAAGGTGAGGTTAAGAAAGGTCAAGGCCAAGATTACCCAGCTAGTAAGTGACAGACCAGGATCTGAATATACATCTTCATCCTCCTGGTCCATCCTAGCCCAAAAGATGAACCCAAGCCTCCTTTCAAAGGCAAGGGGATGCTGAGACTGACTAGCGTGAACTCTTGAAAACAACAAATGTAACTGAGACTTTTCCTACCCTTAACTGGATTCCTGTCATCCTCGAAGCAAGCTCCCGGCCGGCACTGCAGCACTGGCCCCTGTTGACCTGTGTAACCTCCCTTCTTTTTTCCCTCCCTCACTCTGCATGAATGATCGAGAATTCTCTAAACTTACCCCACACTTTCCGGCTTCCCCGTCTTGGCCCACACTCTTCCCTCTGCCTGGAGCACCACCACCCCCCACCAACCATTCTCCACATGGCCAGGATCCTCTCCCAGAGCCAAACCTTTCCAAAAGTGCCAGGTGCCTGCCATTACCTCCATGGCTCCCACCAAGGCGCAAGAACATGACAGATGCAAGACCATGGTTACTGACAAATTGAATGTCACCAAAAAAAAAAAAAAAATCTCTCCAGAGAAGACAGGGACCTGCCTGAGGCCACACAGACCCACACTAGCAAAACCAGGGTCTCCTGGCTCTCTTCCTACTGAACAAAGTATGTGTGTCCTTAGGCAGCTTAAAGGTGCTTAACCAAACCTTCTGAGGCTTCCAAGCTGTACCAGGCTCCAGCTCAGCCCGGTCAAGTGACCCTGAATCCGGGTGAATGCTATCTGCCTCTGAGTCCTGGTCTGAGCCGAACTTGGCAGGTTCTCAAGACCTTTCTAAGACTCAGGATTGATTATTCAGACAAGTGATTTAGATGGGGGCCCCCCAGAGCCCCTGACCAGAGGGGTGGGCAGAGGACACACCTACCACGAAGTGTCCCCACCTCCACATCGCCCTCCCAGAATCAGACTCTCAAAGCCAAGAGGGTCCTTAAGGCCTGCAAGTTCTGTGCTGATCCTCTGTACAGTGGCCCAGGCAAGCAGCTATCCAACGTCTATTTACATGACCCTAGGGGTGTGAAACTCAGTAGACCCTTGCTGCCCATTCCGTCTGGGCTCTAGATGTTTTAAGTTCTCCCTCTGGCTGAGCTAGAATCCTGTGTACTGCGGCTTCCTGCTCCCATCCAAGCTTCACCTGAGGGCTTAGCCTAACCAAGGAGGGTGTATGGACAGATAAGTTCTGGGGACTTCCCCAATGGTCCTGTGGCTGAGATTCCACGCTCCCAATGCAGGAGGCCCGAGTTCAATCCCTGGTCAGGGAACTAGATCCCTCATGCCACAACTAAGACCCAGCACAGACAAATAAATAATATTTAAGGGGAAAAAAGAAAACAGCTAAGATCTATGCAGAACCAGGGCTTTCTACCCACCCTGGGGTAGGCTAAACAATGCTCCTCACCCAAGATATCTATGTCCTAACTTCTGGAACCTGTGACTGTTCCCTTGTATGGGCAAAACAATCTTTGTGGATGTGACTATATTAATGTTCTTGAGCTAGAGAAATTTTCCTCCACTTTTTAGGTGGGTCTTCAGTGCAGCTACAAATGTCTTTATAAGAGGGAAGCAGAGGGAGATCTGAGACTGAAGAGGACAAGGCAATGTGACTGTGGATGCAGTGATGCGGCCTCAAGCAGAGGCCGCCCGCAGGCACCAGAAGCCAGAAGCGGCACAGGAGGAGGCTTTCCGAGGGCCTCTAGCAGGAGCGTGGCCCTGCTGAACTTGGTTTTGACCCAGTGAAACCATTCTGGACTTCTGGCCTCCAGGACTATGGGAAACATTTCTGTTGCTAGAAGCTACCGAGCATGTGGACATTCGGTCCATCAGCCCTAGGACCCAAACACTAACTCCCATGTCAGTTTCTCAACCAGGTTCTGGGATGGAGCCAAGTTAGAGGAAGAGGCTGAAACAGAGAAAGGGGAAATCACTGACCCAGGAATGCACAGCCAGTGAAGGCCTGGAGTGGGATGGAGTCCTGGTTTATTTTTCCACTTTTTCAAGCTGCTGTGGGACTTTTAGGACTCAGTGTTTGCCTCTGGGAAGATAAGAATCTAGCCGTAGAGCCAGGATAAACATCATAATATCCTGGGACTTCCCAGGCGGTCCAGTGGTTAAGATTCTGCACTTCCACTGCAGAGGGCACGGGTTCAATTCCCTGGCTGAGGAACTAAATTCCCACATGCCATACAGTGCAGCCAAAAAAAAAAAAAAAATCACAATCTCCTTTGGTGCCTCAGTTTGCCATCTGTAAAATGGGACAGCCTCAGGCTACAGGTCCCTCTGAAGCAAGGCTGCCTAGAAATCCCACTATTCCTTAGGTCCCACAGAAACCTCACTTACCCCCAGGTGCCTTCCAGACCCTCACAGGGGCCCAAGAGTGAGAAGACAGGGACTGGGGCCTGGAGATGACAAGCGAGCGGCCTGTGGCCACTCAGAGCAGCAAGAGCTCTGCCTGAGCTAGAACCAGGCCAGTGGGCCCCCGAGTCCTAGTGTCCGCCCAGGGATTGAGTCTAGGGACTCAGAACCCCAAGAACTTCCCCATCAAGAGCCCAGATGTTGGGGACTTCCCTGGCAGTCCCATGGTTGAGACTCCATGCTTCCATTGCAGGGGGCACAAGTTCGATCCCTGGTCAGGGAACTAAGGTCCTGCATGCCACACCATGTGGCCGAAAAAAAGAGCCAAGACGTCCCTCACCTGTCCTGGCTGTTGCACGGCTCCCGAAAGCAGGGAAGGAGCAGCCCGTGCACCACACGGGCCTCGAACAGAAACTTGGGGGCCCAGAAGCCCAGAGCTCCAGTCACAAAGGCCATGGCTGTCACCCCAAGCGTCGACCACACAAAACTCCAGCTGAAAGAGAAAGTGGATGAGACAGAGGACAAGATGGTTGGATGCCATCACCAACTCAATGGACATGAGTTTGAGCAAGCTCCGGGGAGACAGTGAAGGACAGGGCAGCCTGACGTGCTGCAGGCCATGGGGTCGCAGAGTCGGACGTGACTGAGCGGCTGAACAACAAGAGAAAGTGCTGTGGATGGAACTGGGAGAGGGCTGGGGCTGTCGGGGCCTGTCTGCTCCCCTCCTCCATCTCCTGGGCACTCAGGTGGTCCCAGATCCTCCACTGACACCCACTAAGCCTTGCTCTGCATTCCTCCCTTCTCTCTGAGGACCAAGTCTCCCCAACCAGAGCGACCCAAATCCAACATCACATTCTCCAGCAATCTGTCCCTCTCCCCTGCCCTCCACTTGGCTCATGGCTCTGTAACAAAGAAGTGGCGTCCGGTCCACGCCCCACATTTTAGTAAATTATGAGACCTAGGTAGGTGACCCCAACCTACCTCCCCAGCCATGCCAGGAACAGAGGAGGGATGCTCTCCCATGAGGTTCAGAGAAGTGAGCGATATACACTCGGGCATCTTCCCAACAACCTGAGAAGCCGGCAAAGCTACAGAACCATGTCTGCTGAATAAATGAGGGGAGCTGGGCTCCAAGTCTCAGGTCACTCAGGGATAAGGCAGTGGCAGAGCCAAGGCCGGAGCTCCCTCCCTCCCAGCCCAACTTCTGTCTCATGGCAGGCAGAGGGAGGTCTCTGAGTGGGGGAGCGACATCTCAGCTGGTGACAGAGAACGCAAAGGAAGAAGAGGGCTGTGAACGCTGCTGGGGCAGTCAGGGAGGGCTCCCTGGAGGCGCAGGGAGGGAGGGCGGTGATGCTGGGGCAGGCAGAGGGGTTTTCAATGACCCGCAGGGAGGAGCAGAGACACTCACTTTCTCCACAGGTATCTGACGTCCTCACACCAGCTGCTCCGTGGGTCCCCCATGGTTGCGACCCCCTGCTTCTCAGCAGCTCCTCGGGGTGGGTCTGGAACCAGCATGATAAGCAGGATCAAGGCCACAGCTTCCAGGCAGGGCATGATCTGGGGACAGGAGGGCCCAGGAAGCTCAGGGCCACACATTCCTGTAAGCCAGGAGATCCCAGCAGTGACTGAACTTTGTGGACCAGGTTCTTGGGTTGCTCTGCGCCCCAGGGGATAGGGGACACAGGCTCATATCGGGGGAGCTGGTTATACACAGAGCTTGCCATATCACTGCTTCTCACCCCTGAGAGGACGGGCTCTCCGGGGAGCATGGGCCCCTTGGGATTTGACTCCTGTACAGACACTACTCTATTGGAATCAGTGAGGTTGACACAGTTGAGAACTGGAGGCTTGACTATACTGACCCTGACTGTGGAGGACTTGCTGCCCCAGTGTTTCCTTTCCTGGCCCACACCTCCATCTGCCATGCCAGCCCTGTCCAAGCATCTTCCCCTCCCTCGTCTCACTGATCCTTAAGGTGCCATAAGGTAGCTTTACTCCCCCACTCTACCGATAGGTAAAGTGAGGCCCTGAAGAGGGAGGTGACTTCCTTGAGATCACACAGCTAGCAAACTGAACGGCTGGGATGTGAACCAGGCGTGCAAATTCCAGAGGCCACGGTCCATACGCAGCCCTGAAGCTGCCGACGTCTGAACACCCGCCATGGCGCCAGACGCTGTGCCAAGGGGCTAAGGCCACTGGAGACTGGAAAGTCCCCGCTGGCCCAGGGGGGAAAGCAGAGGGAAGAAAAGGAAGCTGGACTCACTCGGAGGGCCCAACGCCAGTTCCCAGTCAGCTCTGTCACAGCCGACCCCAGCACGTAGCCCAGACCACTGCAACAGAGAGGCGGGGGACACGGGCTGTGAGGGGAGGCAGGCAGCCCCAAGACCCCAAGGCCAGCCTGAGCCAGGGTGCCCCTACCCCAGGGAGCCAGCTCTCGGCAGCTCACAGCCTTTTCACTGGGAAAAGTGAGCCACGTGAGGCCCAGATGTCCACTGCCCTTGCTAAGTCACCAATGACCTCTGGCTCCAGGTCCATCCCACCCAACCACTGTCTCCCTAAATGAGGACCACTCACCCCCCCTCTCCAAGTCACAGCCCTGCCCAAGGCAGGTGATTTCAGGAAACCTGAGTCAGGGTTCAGGGGTCCGACTGCAAAGCTCACTCTGTCCTATCCCATTGTGGGGTACGTGGCCCAACCCTAACACAGTTCCCTGCCTCTTCCAGAGTCAGCCCCTCCCTGTGTGGCCCACACTGCTGAGCTGTTCTTTCTCCCTCCTCCCGGAGTGTATTAGTATGTAGGGAGCATCTCCATTACATATCTCTAACCCCCACCATAGCCTACAGGTAGGTGCTACTGGCCCCACTTACAGATGAGAAAACTGAGGCTCGGAGAGATAAAGTGACACAGAGAGGAAGGGTAGAGTTGGGTTTCAAATGCAACCCCTTCTGCTCCATGTCTCCTGCATCCAGCCCAGCCCCTGTTCTGACCCCTTTGGGCCTCAGATTACCATCCAGAGAAGTGGATCCAGGGTAATACCAACCTTCCAACAGGGATAAAGATGTAGAATACGGCCAGCACACGGGTCCGCTGGTCCCTCACGAAGAGGTCTCCCAGGACAGTGGGAGCGATGGTGGAGTAGCTGGCTGTGCCAGTCCCCACCAGCCCCCGGGACAAGAAGAAGAGCCAGGAGTACTGGGGAAACGGGCACAAGACCACAGTCAGTTCCAGAAACCACCCTCAGGGCAAAGGGACTTAAAGATCTGTCAGAGGAACCAAGGACATCCTGTGACACGGAGGAGGGGGATCAGTGCTCTAAGTGAAAAGTGAAAGTGTTAGTTTCTCAGTCCTGTCCGACTCTTTGCAACCCCACAGACTGTAACCCACCAGGCTCCTCTGTCCGTAGGATTCTCCAAGCAAGAATACTGGAGTGGGTTGCCGTTCCCTTCTCCAGAGGATCTCCACAGCCCAGGGCTCCAGACACCTCACTATTCCCCCAAGTTGCACAGGCGCCCCCTGCTGGCGCCCACAGCCACTGCCCTGAGGAGTCCTTTTCCTGGGCATCCTGTTTAGCAAACGGGCCTTTGTTCACCAGGCCACTTTCCGCAGACAGTAGCAGTTACCCCCACTCCCACCCCTAGCTCAGTCCGGAGGAAGATGCCAAAGAGGAAGGCCCCTGTTAAGAAAGCCCAACGGCCTGTTGAGAAGACCCTTCTCTCAGCCCTTGGAAGGCAGTCCCCCGCAGCCAGCCTGGAGCAGAAACAGCTCTACTGGAGCTGGATCACAGAGGAAGAAGATGGATGAGGCTCCCCCCCGGGGGGGGCCTGGGAAGGAGAGAGGGCACCTACCCGGGGGGAGATGAAGGAGCTGGAGAGGCCGGCTCCAGACCAGAGCAGGATACCGAAGCTCAGCGTGGCCTTGCGGCTGTGTCGGTCGCCCAGGTAGCCAAACACGGGTGCAGACAGCAGCAGGAAGCTGATGAAGACTGGAGGAGACACACCAGGGGCGGCATGCAGCTCAGTCCCCCAACAAAGAAGGGGTGGTGGCGGGTGCGGAGCGGAAGGGTCCAGTAGGCCCATCAAAGGGAACTGACTCAGCTTGCTTAAAAGTGGGTAGAAACTGGTGTGAGAAAAACTGAATCCCCCAATCCCCACCACGGCCCAGAGTCAGAGGGAGTGGGAGGAATGGGCGGGGGGCTGGGCCTGGGCTCAAATCTCAGCTCTGCGGTTTGCCCACCGTGCAGCCTTGGGTGCCTCAGGCGTGCTCTCTGAGCACCAGTCCAACAGTGGAGGTCAACATTCCCCCCTCCCAGGCTGTGTAAACGTGAGACAGAGGTGAACAGAGTCTGGCACGGAGCTGCCAGGACCCTGTCTTTAGGAGAACTCCCACCCCGGTGAGCCTGACTTGGGGCCTGGTGAAATTCTGCTCTCAGGCCCCTGCTGGAGGTAGCGGGTGAAAGGCCAGGTGGGCGGGGTGTGGGCCAGATGCCTGCTTTGAGCAGATGAGCACGGTTAAGAATGAGCACACTGATTATAAACCAGCGGCCCCTGGAGGCTGGAAGAGACTTGGTTTTCCTAAGTAAAACATTCCCCTGACGCTGCACTTGTATTTATACCATTTTCCAAAGCACCTAACACTTATGAATTGGTGACTGGATTAATTTACTATTCTGCGAAGACAAAGAAGTTGCCACGTTTTTGCTTAACTACACCACGTGGATAGGTATACCTTCACTGCTTCTGTTCCTCAAGTAAAATCGCCTCCATCCTTCTCCGAGTCCGCTGCCTCCGAGAGCCGGCAGGTGGCCAGAGTAAGGTCTAACCCTCCGCCGCCCGGTCCACCCGACCCAAGGGCCTTGGGCTCTTCGGGGCCCCGCCCAGTGTCTGCGTTTTCATTCACTAAGCACAGATGATTGACATTTTCTGAACCCAATGAATGTCCAGACTCGTCCCAACTCAGGTTCCAGCCCCTCCCGCTTTGCCCTGACCCGCTCTCGTATTGGGTTACGCCATAAGCAATTGGCGGAAATTAAGCTAGTTTTAACCTACAAAAACGGCAATTTAATGTGGTTTGACCTAATATTCCGCAGAGAATGGTCTTTGATGTCAACGGCATTTAAAAATTTAATAACTACTGCCAAAATGAAATGCCAAAATAGGCCTCCAAAAAGGCTGTATTAATTTACGCTGGAATAGAAGTATTACACATTGTTTGCTGACACTTGATAGGCTCAATCGATTTCTTTTCGTTCATTTAATGGTTAAAACACAAACGGTGTCTCGCCTACGTTTTAATCTGCATCATCCTTTTCCCCAGTGAGGTTGAGTATCAGCCCCTGGGTTCACATCCTCAGCCTATTTTTTTCTGTTGGCTCTGTGTTGATAATTTCTCCAGTCCCTTACATTTGTTTTAAGGATTTAAAATCAAATTCTGAGACTGAATTCCTGGGCTCACATTCTGACCCCACCGCTTCCTAGTTGTGTGACTTTGGGCAAAATCCTTTACTCCCTGATTCCCCTTTTATCAGAGTACAAGAGTAATAGTACTTCCCCCCTAAGCTTATGAGGAAGATTAAATAAAATAAAGCACATAAAAGACAAGCTTTCTGTAAATACCCAACAGATGTTATCTATTATTATTGCTAATTGCATTTATAGTTTCAATCACCATCATACAGAAGAATTTAGCTTTGATGTAATCAGATGCATCAATCTTTCTCTGGGGAGGTTGTTTCGTGTCTTGTTAACACATGTCTTTGTCCCCTAAAGCTTCTATTTCCCCAAATGTTCTAATACTTTACGAGATTAGGGTAGGGATTCCTCGCAGTATGTGTGTGTGCATGCTCAGTTGCTAAGCTGTGTCGGACTCTTCACTACCCCATGGACTACAGCCCACCAGGCTCCACTGTCCATGGGATTTCCCAGGAAAGAATACCGGTGTGGGTTGCCATTTCCTTTTCCAGGGGATCTTCCCAATCCAGAGATCGAACACAAGTCTCCTGCGTCTCCTGCATTGGCAGGCAGATTCTTTATGACTGAGCCACCTGCAGGATACAAACACTTTAAACCAGCAGATCTCCCGGAATGGAGAAGCCTGCCCCTAAGTGGAAGGCAGGCACGCCTTCACTCCCACCTCCAGATTCAAATCATTTCTGTGACAAGGCGGAAGTCTTTAAGGAGCACAAGGTTCAGAGAAGGACTCTGTAAGCAACCACCTGGATTTTAATCACAGCTCTCTCACTTGCAAGCTGTGTGGCCTTCAGAAGGCCCATTGCCTTTCTGTGCTTCAGGTTTGTCATCTGTAAAATGGGCATAATAATAATAAGTCCCTGCCTCGTGGGATTGTTGTGAAGATTGAATGACTACATGTTATTAAGCCCTTAGAACACCACCTGGCACATGGTAAAGGCCACATCAGTGTTTGTTTTAAATATTGTAAATCAATTAACTAACTCCAGCAGCGTCTCTGTCCCATTGCAGTGGGGCGGGGGCGGGGGTGGGGGGGTTGGGGGAGTCTGACCACTGCTTCGCCCCGCCTCCCACCCCATTCTTATAGCTACACTGAGCCCTCTGAGCCATCAGTTTCCTCCAGTCTGCACTGCTGCGGTGACACAGAAAAGTAAGAAGACTCACCTGAAGTCTCCAGGGACAAGCCTGGTTGTCAGGCCTCCAGGCTCACTGCCCTTCCCACATACCTGTTTGGGCTACTTCTGCAGAAAAGACCCTTCCCTTCATCACATACATGTACATGCACATCCCCACTGCACACTCACAAGCACGTCTCTGTGTTCACAGGCTTTCTCTCTCTCTCTCTCTCTCCCTCTCTCTCCTCCTCTCTCTCACACACACAAACTTCTCCCTCCACACAACTCAGTTATCAGGGGCCTTGCAGTAAAAATCCTGTTCACTATGGTAAGAACCAGGGAAGAGAAATATTGATTCAACTTCCATTATCTGTTTAATCTAGAAGGTTCTGGGTGTTGAGCCTAGAAAGCCTCCCTCTGGCTACAATATGACTGGAAGGTGAGCACCATCTGTCCACCTTAGCCCTGAGATAAGAGCAATTGGGAAAGACTGCCATCTAAAGCAATGATCTAACTCTTTTGTTCATTGCCTCCATTTGTAGAAGCGTGTACCCTTTTGCATGTCTTCAGCTGACATCTAAGGCATTTTTTATCGTAAGTTTAACTAGCTGCAAAGGATGTGATTTCCAGCCGTGATTGTACTTTTCAAACTAGATTGTCATCAGTCCTTAGGGCTGCAGATCAAGTTCATGGGAAACATGTACCATAGAGCCTTATGGGCAAAGTCAGTCCTCATTTGGCAAATCAATAGGGCAAATCAGACTGATTGTCAGTGAGAAAGATATGAAAATGTCGGCTTCGTTTTTAATTAATTTTTATTGGGGTTTTGTTGCTTTACAATGGTGTCTTGGTTTCCACTGAACAGCTTCATTTTTTTTAATTGAAATAGATGTGCTGATACCCATCCATGAGACAACCATCTCACTTCTGGATCCTCAGTTGTAGATAAAGAGAACGCAATCGGGCCAGCGAGATAAGGCTTGGCACCTTGCCATCCTGGGTTTGTGGCCTGGAGCAAACATCCACCAACACTGTCTCTGTCCTGCCCCCAATGCCTCGTCAGCAGAAGTCAGCAGCCTTGAGGGGTCCCTCTGTCTGATGGGTTGTTTTTTTTAATATTCTATTTGTTTATTTGGGCGCACTAGGTCTTAGTTTCAGTACTCAGGCTCTCAGTGGCAGCATGTGGAATCTAGTTCCCCGACCAGGGACCGAACCTGGGCCCCCTGCATTGGGAGTATAGAGTCTTAGCTGCTGGAGCACCAGGGAAGTCTCCCCTGGAGCTTTTTTACACCTAGTAAAACTCAGAATGGGGAGAGCTGTATTTTCCTCCCCAAAATGGTGGACAGGTGAATATTAAAGGGGAGGTGGGAAAAAAGACCCAGATGCTTGTTCTCAGGCAGATCTGTCTTAGGAAAAAAATATATGGGCTTAAGGATCTGTACAGGGATTCTCAAAATTATAAAGAGCACACATGTGTATCCTGTGTTGTGACCGTGTGTGCACACATGTGGGCGCGTGTGTGTGCATCCGTGTGTCACCATCCAAAAACCCATAGGGGAAAAGTTAGCGCCTCGTGACCCCAACTGCCCCCACCTTGAAAAGGAAGGTGTGGCTGCTCCCCTCTGCTGGACTGTAGGCCCCAGTGGGCCCAGACCCCATCTGAGCCCCTGTGGGTATGTGTCGCTGTCTGTCAATCTACTTTTATTTTTTTATTTTTGGCTGCACTACGCAGGATCTTAGTTCCTTGACCAGGGATCGAACCTGCACCTACAGTGGAAGCACAGATCTTAACCACTAGACCGCAAGGGAAGTCCACTGTCTGGCTGTCTGGGTCCCAGTGACCAGGATTTTCAGATCCATGAGAAGAAAGCACATGTTAGAAATTCTAACCCCAGCTACAAAGCTGAGCTTAATAGACATGAAGGATGAATGACCAACTCCCCAGCCAGGATCTAAAGCCTGGGAGCCTTTTCAAGCCCCAGCTCCCTCCTTTCTTCCCCCAGCGTGTGTGCATGCTAAGTTGCTTCAGTTGTGTCCAACTCTTTGCACAGGCAAGAATACTAGTGTGGCTACCAAGACCTCCTCCAGGGTATCTTCCCAGCTTGGGGACAGAGCCCGTGTCTCCTGTGGCTCCTGCATTGCAGGCAGATTTTTTACCGCTGAGCCACCAAGGAAGCCCCCTTTCCCCAGCACTCACCCTCAAACCCTAAGAGGCTGTTCAGGCACCAAATCCCAGCCTCTACTGCTTCCTTCTCTGACACAGACTGTCCCTCCCACCCAACCACCACCCATCCTCTGCGCCAGGGGACTCAATGGGGCTCAGGCTGACCCCCCAGCAGCAGCTGGAGCCGCACAGAGAACAGCACCTGCCAAAAGACCCCCGCGCCGCGTGAGCCGACCACTCCAGGCTGGGGACTCCCTCCTTACCTGTCTGAAGCAAACCAGCATTGCTGTCACTGATATGGAAAAACTTCTGTACGTCCAGCAGCACTCCTGTGGACAGATGGACAGTGCTCAGGAAATGGGAAGTTGCCTGCCAGGCCTCCACAGGCAGCTGCCTCTGCATTTGGGACAGGCCCACAGCTGACCACTCATCACAGACATGGCACCCAGGCCTACTCTTCTTGTCCCTCTCTCCCACACATGCACACAACCACACACACAAATACAAATACAGGATCCAGCATATCCCAAAGGCACAGACATACCAATTCACGCACAAGCCTGCATGCCTGGACTACACACACATATTCACGCATCACAGATATGCAGATCCACATAGGCACATACAAACAGGCACACCCAGAGATATATACTCCCAGAAGCAGACACACACACAGGAGCCAGCACTCACAGCCGTGTAAGTCCAGTCTCGTACACCCAGACACGTGTACACTGAGAGGTACACATAAAGACACACCCACAGGCACATGTGCATCTTCACATGTGCAGGCCTGCCATTCACATCATCGTCAGAGTGGCTGGGGTGCTCAGTCACTCAGTCGTGTCTGACTCTCTGCGACCCCATGGACTGTGGCCCACAAGGCTCCTCTGTCCCTGGGATTCTCCAGGCAAGAATACTGGAGTGGGCTGCATTCCCTTCTCCAGGGATCCAACCCGAGTCTCCTGAACTGACAGGCAATTCTTTACCACCACGCCACCTGGGAAGCCCCAGGATGACTGGAAGCCATTCACTTAGACTACAGTGCAATGAAAGTCCCTGAAACTGCGGCACCACAGCCCTACTTGTATACACACTCCAGACATTCATAGATATGCATATACATGCATGAGCATGTACATGCAAAGACATATGTGCCCTGGCCTGGCACAGGTGCACACACAGCGCGTTCCTCCAGAGGCATGAACACACCGACATGGAGTGCCTGTGAGAGCTTCAGAGGTAGGGCCCACTTAGGTCTGACCTTGGCCCCACCTCCCTGAGGGTTGCAGGTTCTTGCTCCAAGATCTTGCTAGGCTGATATCCTGTCAGTCCCTAGTCGTATTTCAGAGCTAGTCAGGGTCCAAGGCACCTGCTTATCTGAGCTGTGAGGCTCTGGCCCTGTCATCACTTTGAATTATGAGACAGCTGAGGGCCATCAGTATCTCTGTCCCCATTATACAGATGGAGAAACAGAGGCCCCAGCCACCTATGGCTGTACAATTGGGACCATCCCAGGCAGAGGCAGCCCACCCTCCCACCCAGTGTCACAAATGGGGCTCTGCAGGAACGCCCCCACGGTGGAGAAGAAAACCTGCCATTCACACCTTGAAGACCTGCCAGTGGGCGAAAAAGAGGGAAGAAACAGAGAAGTCAAATAAGAGATTTTTGTTCCGATATTCACCTTGGACCCAGCTCCCACAAAATCCAGATACTAGCTTGTATGTCTTTCCTTCTCCCTTAATACTTTTAATTATACGAATTAGATATATTCATTGTCAAGAAAGAGACAACACAGATAAGCAAAGTCAATGGCGGGCTTCCCTGGTAGCTCAGTGGTAAAGAATCTACCTGCCAATGCAGGAGACATGGGTTCGATCCCTGGTCCAGGAAGATCCAACATGATGCAAAGCAACTAAGCCTGTGCACCACAACTACTGAGCTTGTGCTCCAGAGCCTGGGAGCTGCGACTACTGAAGCCCGCGTGCCCTAGAGCCTGTGCTGCACAAGAGAAGCCACGGCAATCAGAAACCCTGCACCACAACTAGAGAGTAGCCCCTGCTTGCCGCAACTAGAGAAAAGCAAAGACTCAGCACGGCCAAAACTAAATAAGTAAAGAAAATCATTTTAAGTCAATGGCTAGGTAAAAAATTCTCTATAATCGCATTCATTTTGGGGACTGGGACTCAGCCCCTTGTTTTGGTCACTCCTGGGCTCCTCTGAGCCCCATGCTGCTCTGGAGGCAGCCGGAGGACCAAGTGTGGGTCCAGCCTTGTTTTCATCTTTCTGCTATCACTCTGGCCTCCCAGAGACCTGCTTCACACAAGAGAATTCTTAGTGTGTGAGAACCACCTGCCCCAACAGTCCCCAGGCACTGGGCAAAGTTTCACTTCCCTGGGCCTCCCTCAACCCAATAACCATGGCCCTGCTATTCACACAGCCAGGGGAAGTCCTTTCAGTCCTAGGGGGATGAAAGACCTCCATACCCCCAGTTGCCACTTCCCCTCCTCTTCATGCCCTCTACCCCCACTCCAGTGCAGGACTGCTCAGCTTCAGCCTAATCTATCGCAGTAGCCTCTGACTGACCTGTCTCCTTTGGCCTTCATCAGAACCTCAACCCTGATTATAGTCTCCCCACTTGAGTATTTTCCGTGGCTCCCCATTGCTTCAGCAGAAAGTGTAAGCTCCCAGCCTGGTCCCCGAGAAACCTATGATCCAGCCCCAAACACTTTTTCAGAATCATTTCCTGCTTTCTCCCTATCTCTCCACCTGTGATTGGACCATGCACTTTTGCCCCATTCCCTGCCTTACCGATTTTCTCAGCCTTCATGACCCAAACCTTCTGCCCCTCTTCTGTGAATTCTACCTGAACCCTCAGTGTTTCATCCTGGGAAAGTTATTCGCTCAGTTGTGTCCAACTCTTTGTGACCCCACAGACTGTAGCCCGCCAGGCTTCTCTGTCCGTGGGATTCTCCAGGCAAGAATACTGAAGTGGATTGCTGTTTCCTCCTCCAGGGGATCTTCCTGACTCAGGGATCAAACCTGGGTCTCCTGCATTGCAGGCAGATTTTTTACCATCTGAGCCACCAGGAAAGCCCCTTTTTTTCATCCCAGGGCTATCCAGCTAATGGTCACTCATCTCTGTCCTGGGTTAGGGACACTTGAACGTGTGTTCTGTGTCCCTCTGAGCTCCTCAAACACAGTCACCCACAGGGTCTGGTGCTGTCTGCAATCCCCAAGTCATGTTCATTCTGCATCTGCAAGCTGGTAACTGATGAATCCACCTCCTGGCCTCAGGGAGCCCAGCTGCTGCAGGCACCTCCTCTGAGCTCCCCAGGTACCCTCCCCGCAACCCATGCTTCCTCATCTGGCTGCATCTCTCTGTCTCCCAGGAGTCCTGTTAACAAGTTTCTCTCTCTGCCACATGAGATGGTCATTTCTGTGTTCAGGAGCTACAAGGATGACTCCTCCCTCCCCTGGGTCCCCAAGTCCCATAGTACTCGGTTCATCTTGAATGAGTGCATGATCAAGGCAGAAAAGAAGGTTGAACCTTGAACGAATGAACGAAAGTCAATGGGTGGTGACTTGCAGACAGAGCAAGTTGAGCCCTGGGGCCTACAGGAAGAAAGGCCCAATGTGCAAGGTTTCACGCCACCTGCTGCCCCAGAACAAGCAGCCAGCTCGTTCTTGCTTGGAAGCAAGGCCGGGCCACCCCGTCCTACGCCAGGACCTCACCTCAACGTTCCACCCAGAATTTCCAGAGCTTTGCCTGAGGCCCAGCCTTCCCTGGAGCCCTCACCTACCCACCGCTGTCAAGCGCCCACACCTGTAGGCACACTCAGTTGGGGCACACACTGGGAACTCGTTTGGTCCTCTCCCCATTCAGGCTGGCCTGGAACCAATGCGGGGGGGAGGAGCGGAGGTGAGAATAGCAGAGATGAGCCGCACAAGAAGAAAGTTCGCTGGATGGAGGCCCACTGTGGACACACAGCACCGGCTGCTGGCAGCTGCTGCCCAGCTTGCCCGGCCCCTGCCTCACCTGCAATGATGAACCAGTTCATGTAGTTCAGGAGGTTGATGTAGCAGAGCACGGCAGCGGCCACATAAGCTCTCCAACGGGGCAGGCTCCAGGGGGCGGGCATGGATGGAGGACCTGTGTCCGTGGCCCTCAAGTGTCCACCTGGCCCCGGGGACTGACCGTGAAGCCCCTCTGGCTGCCTGAACTCCACAGACATGTCCCCAGTCTCACCAGCCTACAGCTCTGGTCCCAGGATGGATGCCAGGATGAAAGACACATCAGCTCTGCACAGAGTCACTTCCTGTGGTCTCCCAGTCACCCAACCTCAAAGCAGCTGCCCTAACCACTCAGGATCTTATCACAGGTCTCTGCTGAGCCCACTGCAGCCTCACCGGTGAGATTTCACCATCCACAGCCCCTGAGGCTCGAGGTGGGGGGAGAGAGCTCCTGGCCCGCCAACCAGAGTAACTGGTCCTTTTGACCCAGCCTGCGATGCGGTAGCTGCCCTGAGAAAGAGAAGTTTTGCAGGACAGGAAGTGAGAGGAGTCTCCTAGAGTCCCATGTGCTGGGGGAGGGTCTGGCTGCCACACACGAGACGGACTGTGAATGAGGGATTCGAACCTGGGTCCTAGCTGTTGGCCAGGAGAGCAACACTGGACTGGACCGTAAGTGGAGGTTAACCCCTCCTCCTATGTAAAGTCCTACCTGGAGGAACAAAGATGATGAGGGGCTGCCGACAGGAAGGCAGCCCGAGGGCAAAGCTCATCAATGAATATGAAATTTAAGGGGAGATTTTTGATGAAGGGCAAAATATTGGCATGCTCTTAAAGTGTCTCTCTAGGGACTTCCCTGGCAGTCCGGTGGCCAAGACTCCACGCTCCTAATGCAGGGGACCCAGGTTCAAACCCCGGTCAGGGAACTAGACCCCTACATGCTGAGAGTAAAAGATCCCACATGCCACAGCTAAGACCCAGCACAGGCAAATAAATAAAATAGCATCACTAATGAGGGGAAGAATTTCCACCAGGATTGCATGGCCCCAGTCTAATCATGACAGACTCTCAGACAAACCCAAACAAGGGACACTGTTTTTTTTTTAATAGACTTTATTTCTTAAGAGCAGTCATAGGTTCACAGAAAACTGAGCAAAATGTTTAGATTTCCCATATACCCCTCTGCTCTCACACATGCTTAGCCTCCCCCATTATCTACACCCCTGCCCAGAGCAGGACATTTGCCACAGTTGCTGAACTTACACTGACATGTCATTATCACTCGGAGTCCATCATTCACATTAGGGTTCACTCTTGGTGTTGTGCCTTTTATGGGTTTGGACAAATGAGTACCACCTGTACCTATCATTATGAACTAGTGTCCATGGCGCTAGTGGTAAAGAACCTGCCTGTCACTGAAGGAGACTGAGAGGCAAGGGTTCGATCCCTGGGTCAGGAAGATCCCCTGGAGAAGGGCTTGGCAACCCACTCCAGTATTCTTGACTGGAGAATCCCCATGAACAGAGGAGCCTGGCTGGCTACCAGTCCACGGGGTTGCAAAGAGTCAGACACGACTGAGCTACTAAGCATGCATGCACATTATTATAGTGTCTTACAGAATATTTTATTGCCCTAAAATCCTCTGTACTCTGCGTGTTCATCCCTCCCTCTCCTCATCCTCTGGCAACCACTGAAATTTTTACTGTCTCCGTAGTTTTACCTTTTCTGGAATGTCATATAGTTGTAACTGTACGGCATGGAGCCCTTGCAGATTGGCTTCTTTCTCCTAGTCATTTGCATTGAAGTTTCTTCCATGTTGCTTTATAGCTTGAGAGTTCATTTTTGCTTAGTGCTGAATAATATTCCACTGTCTGGATGGACTGCAATTTATCCATTCACCTCTGAAGGGCTTCTTGGAGGCTCACAAGTTTGGACAATTATAAATAAAAACAAAAATAAACAAATGGGACCTTATGAAACAAAAAAAGCTTTTGTACAGCAAAGAAAACCATAAACAAAACAAAATGACAGCCCTCAGAATGGGAGAAAATATGTGTAAACAAAGCAGTTGGCAAGGCATTCATTTCCAAAACATACAAACAGCTTGTGCAGCTCAATATCAAAAACACAAGCAACCCAACCAAAAAATGGGTGGAAGATCTAAGTAGACATTTCTCCAAAGAAGATATACAGATGGCTAAAAAGTACATGAAAAGATTCTAAACATCACTAATTATTAGAGAAATGCAAATCAAAACTAATGAGTTATCACCTCACACCAATCAGAATGGCCATCATAAAAAAATCTACAAACAATAAATGTTGGAGACGGTGTGGAGAAAAGGGAATCCTCTTGCACCATTGGTTGGAATGCAAACTGATACAACCACTATGGAGAACAGTATGCAGATTTCTTAAAAACTAGGAATAAAACCACCATATGACCCAGCAATCCCACTACTAGGCATATACCCTGAGGGAACCAAAATTGAAAAAGATACATGTAACCCAATATTCATTGCAGCTCTAGTTACAATAGCTAGGACATGGAAGCAACCTTGATGTCCATTAACAGATGAGTGGATAAAGAAGCTGTGGTACATATATACAATGCAACATTACTCAGCCGTAGAAAGGAAACTATTTGAGTCAGTCCTAATGCGGTGGATGAACCCAGAGCCTATTATACAGGGTGAAGTAAGTCAGAAAGAGAAAATCAGTTATCTTACACTAACGCATATATATGGAATGTAAAAAGATGGTCCTGAGAAACTATTTGCAGAGCACCAGGGAAGACACAGACCCTGAGAACAGACTGTGAACAGGGCTCAGCAGGAGAAGGTGGGAGGTATGGAGAAAGTAACACGGAAACACACATTACCACGTGTAGAATAGATGACAGCCAATGGGAACTTACCGTATGACTCAGGGAACTTAAACTGGGGCTCCATAACAACGGAGAGGGGTGGGGTGGGGAGGGAGGGGGGAAGGATATTCAAGTGGAAGGGGACATGGGTAAACCTATGGCTGATTCAGGTTGATGTTTGGTAGAAATCAATACAATACTGTAAATCAATTATCCTTCAATTAAAAATAAATAAATAAAAATCTACAAACAATAAACGCTGGAGGGGATGTACAAAAAAGGGAACCATCCTACACTGTTGGTGGGAATTTAAATTAGTACAGTGTCCATGGAGAACAGCTTGCAGGTTCCTCAAAAAGCTAAAAATAGAACTGTCATATGACCCAGCAATCCCACTCCTGGGTATATATCCAGAGAAAAACATAATTGGAAAAGACACATGCATGTCAATGTTCATTTTAGTACGGTTTACGTTAGCCAGGACAGGTAAATAACCTAAATTTCCATCAACAGAGGAATGGATAAAAAAGATGTCATACATATATACAATGGAATATTACTCAGCCATAAAAAAGAATAAAAATGCCCTTTGCAGCAACATGGATGGACTGAGAGACTGTCACACTGAGTGAGGTAAGTCAGACACAAATACAAATATCATATGATACCAATTACACATGGAACCTGAAAAGGGGTACAAATGAACTTATTTACAAAACAGAAGTAGAGTCACAGATGCACAGATATAGAAAACAAACTCATGGTTACTGGGGGATGGGGAGGGGAGGAATAAATTGGGAGATTGGGATTGACATGTACACACTACATATACAACTAATAAGAACCTACGGCATAGCACAGGAACTTGACTCATCCTCCATAATGGCCTTAGGGGAAAAGAATCTAAAAACAAGAGTGGATGTATGTGTAAGCGGTTCACTTTGCTGTACATCTTAAACTAACACAACATTGTAAATCAACTACACGTAAAAATTAAAAAAAAAAAACTTGGGCTGACTAAATAAAGAAATAAAGCTGATAAAAAAACATCCACGTGCAAGCTTTTGTGTGGACATAAGCTTTTAACTGGGCTTCCCAGGTGGTGCTAGGGGTAAAGAACACAGCTGCCAATGCAGGAGTCGTGGGTTCAATCCCTGGGTCAGGGAGATCCTCTGGAGTAGGAAATAGCGAACTACTCCAGTGTTCTTGTCTGGGAAATCCCATGAACAGAAGAGCCTGGCGGGCTATAGTCCACGGGATCGCAAAGTGTCAGACGTGACTGAGCAACTGAGCACACACATAAGCTTTTAACGAGAGCCCTTGCTCCGCAGCAAGAGACGCCCACGTGAACACGAAGAGGCTGTGTGGTGCGATGAAGACCAGCACAGCCAGTACATAAATAAATAATTTGTAAGTGTCTTAAAGAAACCACAACGATATACTGTTCTTCATATCCACTAGTATGGACTAAAATTGTAAGCTTTATCAATTAAAAAACCAGAAAATAAGTGTTGGCAAAGATATAGAGAAATTGAAACCTTCATACATAGCTGGTAGGACTGAAGATGGTTCAGTTATTTTGGGTTGAGAGGAGGACCATAAAGAAGGCTAAGCACTGAAGAATTGATGCTTTTGAATTATGGTGCTGGAGAAAAGACTCTTGAGGGTCCCTAGGACAGCAAGGAGATCAAACCAGTCAGTCCTAACAGAATCAACCCTGAATATTCACTGGAAGGACAGGTGCTGAAACTGAAGCTCCAGTTCTTTGCAAAGAGGCCACTCACTGGAAAAGACCCTTGCCATTCCCTTCTCCAGGGGATCTTCCTGACCCAGGAGTTGAACCCAGGTCTCCTGCACGGCAGGCAGATTCTTTACTGACTGAGCTACCAGAGAAGCCCAGTGCAGGAGACCTGGGTTCAATCCCTGAGTCAGGAAGATCCCCTGGAGTAGGGAATGGCAACCCATTCCAGTATTCTTGCCTGGAGAATTCCAGGGACAGAGGAGCCTAAGGAGCTATAGTCCATGGGGTCACAAAGAGTCGGACACGACTGAGCAACTAACACACACACACACACACACACACACACTCTTACTGTATAACATCCCCACAAACGTATGGCTTTAAGCAACCATGGTTGGTAGCGGTTTAATCACTAAGACATGACCGACTCTTTGCAACCCCATGGACTGTAGTCCACCAAGCTCCTCCGCCCATAGGATTCTCCAGGCAAGAATACTAGAGTGGGTTACCATTTCCTTCTCCAGGGGATCTTCCCAACCCAGGGATCAAACCCAGGTCTCCTGCACTGTGGGCAGATCCTTTACCACTGAGCCACCAGGGAAGCCCTTAAGTAACTA